CTATTGTTGTTGTTGTTATGTGCTGTCGAGTCAGACCCAACTCATAGCGACCCCTCCTTGGGTTTCCAAGGCAGTATCACTACAGAAGTAGATTGCGCCATCTTCCTTCTGAGGAGTCGCTGGTAGGTTTGAACCGCCAGCCTTCTGGTTAGCAGTCAGGTGCCTTAGGCACTATGCTACCAGAGCTCCCTCATTAACTATTAGGGAAATGCAAGTCAAAACCACAATGAGGTATCACTTCACACCCACCAGGACGGCTATAATAAAAAATAAACTAAAAACAAAGATAAAAAATTAACAAATGGGGAAAGTGGAACCCTAGTACATGGCTAGTGAGAATGTAAGATGATTCTACCTTTGCGGAAAAAGTTTGATGGTTCCTCAAAAATTTCAATACAGAATTACCATATGACCCAGCAGTTCTGCTTCTGGGAATGTACTCAAAGAATTGAAAACAGGTACTACTCACAATAGCCAAAAGATGGGAACAACCCAAATGTCCATCAAGGGATGAATGGATAAGCAAATTGTGGTGTTGTAGTTAGGTGCCATCAAATCATCTCTGATTCATAGCGACCCTGTGTACAACAGAACGAAACACTGCATGGTCCCGTGCCAGCCTCACGGTCCCTGCTATACCTGAGCCCATCATTGCAGCCATCATGTCAATCCATCTGGTTGAGGAACTTCCCCTTTTCATTGACCCTCCACTTTACCAAACATGATATCCTTCTATAGGGAATGGTTTCTTCAGACAACATGACCAAAGTAGGTGAGATGAATTCTGGCCATTCTCGCTTCCAAGCAGTGTCCCAGTTGCATTTCTTCCAGGACAGATTTGTTAGTTCTTTCAGCAGTCCATGTTACTCTCAATATTCTTTGTCAATACAGCTCAAAAGCATCAACTCTTCTTCTGTCTTCCTTATTCATTGTCCAGCTTTCACATACATATGAGGCAATTGAAAATACCATGGCTTCAGTTAGGCACACCTTAGTTTTCAAATAAATATTTTTGCTCTTCAGCACTTGAAAGAGGTCTTTTGCAGCAGATTTGCCCAATGCAATACATCATCTGATGTCCTGACTGCTGCTTCCATTGGTGTTGATTATAGAACCAAGTAATAGGAAGTCTTTGACAGCTTCAATTTTTTCTCTGTTTATCGTGATGCTGTTTGTTGGTCCAGTTGTGAGAATTTTTGTTTTCATTATATTGAGGTGTCATGTATATGGTAGACTATAGTCTTTATTCTTCATCAGTAAGTGCTTCAAGTCATCCTCACTTTCAGCAAGCAAAGTTGTGTTGTCTGCATATCGCAGGTTGTTAATGAGTCTTCCTTCAGTCCTGATGCCACGTTCCTCTTCATGTAATCCAGCTTCTCAGATTATTTGCTCAGCGTACAGATTGAATAAGTATGGTGAAAGGATACAACCCTGACACGTTCCCTTCCTGATTTTCAACTATGCAGTATCCTCTTGTTCTTTTTGAATGACAGCCTCCTGGTCTATGTATAGGTTCCTCATGAGTACAACCAAGTGTTCTGGAATCCTTATTCTTCTCAATGTTATTCATAATTTTTTATGATCCACGCAATTGAATGCTTTTGCATTTAATTATGTCAATGAAACATAAGTAAACATCTTTCTGGTGTTCTTTGTTTTGAGCCAAGATCCATCTGACATATCCCTCATTCCATGTCCTCTTCTGAATCCAGCTTGCATTTCTGGAAGTTCTCTGTCAATATACTGCTGCAACAATTTTTGAATTATCTACAGTAAGATTTTACTTGCATGTGACATTAATGATACTGTTTGATAATTTCCACATTCTGTAGGATCACCTTTCTTTGGAATTGGTACAAATATGGATCTTTTCTAGTCTAGGCCAGGTAGCTGTCTTCCAAATCTCTTGCCATAGCCAAGTGAATGCCTCCAGCAGGGCATTCGTTTGTTGAAACATCTCAATGGGTATTCCATCAATTCCTGGAGCCTTGTTCTTCACCAATTCCTTTAATGTAGCCTCTACTTCTTCCTTCAGTATCATTGATTCTTGAACACATGCCACCTCCTGAAATGGATGAATATCAACCAATTCCTTTTGGTATGGTGACTGTGTATTTCTTCCATCTTCTTTTGATGTTTCCTGCATCATTCAATACTTTGCCCATAGAATCTTTCAATATTGCAACTTGAGGCTTAAATATTTTCCTCAGTTCTTTCAGCTTGAGAAATGTTAAGCGTGTTCTTCCCTTTTGATTTTCTAAATCCAGGTTTTTGCACATTATAGTAATTGGATTTGTCTGCTCAAACTGCTCTTTGAAATCTTCTGTTCATCTCTTTTATCTTGTCATTTCTTCCATTTGCTTTAGCTGCTCTCTGTTCAAGGGCAAGTTTCAGAGTCTCTTCTGACATCCATTTTGGTTTTTCTTCCTTTCCTGTCTTTTTAATGACTTCTTGCTTTCTTCATGGATGATGTTCTTGATGTTATCCCACAATTTCTCTGGTTTTTGGTCATTGGTACTCAATGTATCAAATCTATTCTTTAAATGGTACCTAAATTCAAGAGGGATATAATCAAGATCATATTTTTGCTCTTGTGGACTTGTTTTAACTGTCTTCAACTTCAACTTGAATTTGTATATGAGCAGTTGATGGTCAGGAGCTCTTAGTGCCTAAGACATTTGACTGCTAACCAGAAGGCTAGCAGTTCAAACCCACTAGCCACTCCTCAGGAGGAAGAGTGGGCAATCTACTTCTGTAAAGATACTGCCTCAGAAACCCAAGGAGGGGTTGCTATGAGTCAAAATTGTCTCAATAGCTGTTGATGGTCTGTTCCATGATCAGCTCCTGGCCTTGTTTTGGCTGAAGATATTGAGCTTCTCCATCACCTCCTGCCACAGATGTAGTCAATCTGATTTCTGTGTATTCCATCTGGTGAAGTCCATGTGTATAGCCACCATTTGTGTTGTTGAAAAAAGGTATTCGCAATGAATAAGTTGTTGGTCTTGCAAATTTCTGTCATGCATTCTTACTGTTATTTCTATCACAAAGGCCATATTTTCCAACTACTGGTGATTCTTCTTTGTTTCCAACTTTTTCATTCCAGTCAGCAGTGATAATCAGCA